CTCGACAAAATACAACGAATAAAAACATTTTCATATATTTAAACAGTACATAACAAATGGGCCAACAACTCTTTCTGAGAATCCTTGCATTGTTAAGGTATTACTGACTGAAAATGTTTTTTCCTGTCTTGAAGAGGCCAAATCTAGCAGGGGCTCCCAAAGTGCAGGGGAGCACAGATGGCCAAACTTTTTGTTTTGGAGGGCCAAAATGCATTATTTGTCATGGGCTGAGGGCCAAAATGACAAAACGGCTAGCCAGCAACTTAAAAGCTTTTCATTTTCACATGTTGCCAGTAAACATGGAGAAATTCTATTTGTTAAATACGATACGCCAGCGGTTCCCTTATATATGAGGCAAAATGTCATCCCTTTACGTTTAGTCAGAAAAAAATACAAAAATCACACTGCTGTCTTTAAATGCATGGTGCATGGTGCTCTGCATGGTGACAGGGGTCATAAAATAAGATGTAAAAAATCTATAACAACTATAACATAACCTGAAATGTTTTGTTACTAAAAGTACTTCACAAGCAAAAGAAATGAAAGAAAATAAGAAAATAAGCAGACAGTCTTTGCCTCGAGACTGATAAGACAGAGAGCAAGACAGTGAGAAAGAGAGAGATATACCTTGTGAAAGACACAGTTAATGATACAACAGTGATATAAGACTCTGTGCCTGGCACATAAAAGTTTACTGCATGCAGCTGTCACTGTTTGCATTCAGTTCTAATATTTGCAAGACTGCAGGGAAAATATTCATTATGTACACCAATCAGTCAGCAAAATCCAAAGGCATGTACATAATGAACTACTAGAAATACATGGAGCAAATGACAGCAGTGACAGTTTCAGACCTGGGATCCTGAATGGGGTCACAAGAGGGTCCAGTGGGTTCTGAGCATACTTAAATCAAAATTAAACAAATGCACTGCTTTGCAGTGTAGAACAATGTTAGGTACCACGTTATTCAACAAGATAATGAGCCACTAGCAGTGCTTTCTGCTAATATGTCATAGTATGTTACATCCTCCTTTGCACATCTCCACATATTCTTCAGTACCGTGCACTGTCTGTGTTTTGTTTTGTATTTATTGTAAGGACTTTTTTTTCGTATTTATTGCACTATATTGTCTGCACTGTGTATACTGTATTGTATTGCACTTGTGTTCCTGTGTTGCACCATGGTCCTGGAAGAATTTTGTTTCATTTCTGTGTACTTGTATATAGCTGAAATGACAATAAAGCCTCTTGAACTTGAACTTTTCATGTGTTTTACAGTCAGATATTGGAGATGCTACACCTGTCAGTGTGAGAGCAGCACTGCACAAACTTTTCCTTATGACTTGATTTTTCTACCTCGAGTCTGGGCTTCAGTACTGATATTCACTGAAAAACAAACCAATTCACCAGGCTGAAGCAGTAGACATCTCTGCATTGCCAAATGCTGCCAATCACTCGCACGGCTTAACCCACTATATACGTTGGTGGGGCCCAAAATGGTTATCAAATGTCATACTACATGCACAGCAATAATGCTGCTAGGTCACTGATCACATTCGTCTACAGATTTCTGTTGTGTATTTCCAGAACATATCGTTTTAAGATCACATACATGCAAGATCTGCAGACATATTTTATATTGTCTGATATATATTGTGTGATATCATTGACATGGATCTCATTCTTTCGCCTCTTTCTTTTGAATGATGACTTTCTACTACAACATGCAACAGCAAACACGTCACAGTATTCATTACAGCTAACAGGCACCCTCCCATCTCTCAATGTCCTGAGCAACAATTAACAAATATGTATGGGTTTCTAACTGTCTACTCATACAGTGACAATATGGCAACATAAAGTTTTGAGATTTGAGGTAAACTGCATGGGTTATAAGACCTGTTCCAGACTTATTAACTCTGCGTGGCATTGAAAAAGTATTGAGAATTTTTTAGCAAAATAAACTATTCAAAACACTGAAAATGAAAACTAAAAACCTAAATAAAAGCCAATTCTATGATTCAAATTATTAAAATACAAGCTAAACATTTTGTGCTGCATATATGTTTTACAGAAGGTCTCCCAGGCTAGAAACAGTTGCCCAATCACAAGTCAGAAAGCTGCTGAGGTTAAACAAATATATCAAGGTCTTTTATGAATTATATTTTTATTGAGAAAAGTTAATTATTTGACTTATTTATCCATTTGGAAAAAGGATGTCTGTAGAACTTGACCATGGTACTGTTCCACAGTGCAAGCGCTGTATGAGTGAATGGCCAATGTGTGCAAGCTGCAGCAGTCACGTTGCGGCATTGCTCATGCCATGCAGAGGTAGTATGTGTGAAACAGGCCTAATAGCTAAAAGTGCAGATTTTACACATAATCTAGGTACAATGTTACTGCAGGGACATGTTTAAAATTTCATTATTACTGATTTATTTTCTAACAAAAGCACTATAAAAACATTAAAAGCATTCTAACTTAGCAATGTAAATGACAACAATTCACTACGGAGTTTGGATAAGTAATACACTGAAATGAATATCATACCTCAGGATATAGTTTTTCCATGTACAGAGAAGATATAACATAGTACATCATACAAAAATATAAAATAAGGCGTATGAAATAAACAGATGAGGGTTGCCCCAGTCTTATAGAAATTGTCAAAACTATAGAAAAGTCACTGAGATATAGCAACATTACACTTCAAGTTTTCCTGAGGCCTTAGAGTTTTCCTTAATTGAGCTCTCCTGAAGCACATCTAACCCTACACAATTGTCTCCATCTGAAATCTGCTTAATCTAATGAGCCCATATTGGCTGAGAACTGAGAGACTTTTGTACTGGCTTAGATAGCATAGACTGGCAATGCAAAGCAGCTTTGAACAGCCTTACAGCTCAATCAGCCCTGGCAGTGTGAGGAGTCTGCACAGAACCAACAAAAGTCTTTTGAGGAATAAAATCATTCCATGGATGAGCTAAAACCAAGTACTACACAGATGTATTCTACCCAGCAAAATTAATATCCTGGCTCTATGCTGATTTCCCAAACCAGATCAAGAGAAAACACTAATCTTCCTTCTTACCCCCTGATTGCTGTAGTGTCATTATCCCACTCTCCCTAAAACCTCCCTCCCACAGCTCTGTGGAGGGGGGGCTATGAGTAAGTGTAACGTGGAAGTCTTGGTGTGTAGCTCTGCACTGTTAGGGACATGGCTCTGCACTGTTGGGGGCTCCTTTTTTGCACCTGGGCTGGAAGCTGACCTCCTGAGTGAAACCATATTGATGAAGAGGGCTAGCTTACTGGAGAGGTAAAAAAAAATGACAAATTCTCAAGAGAGTGGTCTTGCAATGAAGGCAATCATTGCGCTGGCAGATAAGTGCATGCTGTATGATGTATGGTTGTAGCCAAAAAAAGCATGGAATCTTTATATTATGTGAAGTGTTCTTCAAACGTCTAATCAGTGTAACAATAAAATGATACTGATGTGAAGGATATTGTTATTCACACGTTTTCTTGTTCAAAAAGGTTTATGGCACAAACTAAACACAAATCCAAATCTCTTATATCATGTCGTTTACATAACAAATACATGCAACAAAAGTGTTTAGAAAACATTATTCATGAAGAATAGTAGATTAAATGTCAGAAATAATCATTTTGAGTTGACCTTAGAGGGCTAACGAGACAGCCATTGAAAGGTTCATCCATGGCATTGCTCCAAAGAAATTTTTAATACAATTCCAAAAATGTTGGGACAGTATTTGGAATGCTAATAAAAACAGAAAGCAGTGATAAGTAAATTCTGTTGGAACTCTACTAAATTAAAAAACAAAAACTGGAAGCAAAAACACAATGTTTTGCATCTTACTCTCATTCCAAGTTAGATGCCTGCAACATGGTCCAAAAAAAGTTGACAAAGAACATGTTTACCACTGTTACATCACTCATCTATTCAACGACGTTTAATAACTGTTTGAGGACTGAAGACACCAATTGATTCAGTTTTAAAAGTGGAATTTTTGCCATTCTTCCACATACAAGTCATCATCTGTGTGACCATATGGGGCTTTCGTTGTCCTATTTTGTGCTTCATAACGTGCTGCAAATTTTAATGGGAGACAGGTCTGGACTGCAGGCAGGTCAGTCCAGCACCTGTACTCTCAGGTTATGCAGAATGTGGCTTGGCACTGTTATGTCGAAATAAGCATTGACATTCGTGGAAAAGGATACTGCAGAAGGCAGCATATGATGCTCCTTTGAAGAAATACAAGTTATCCATGCCATGCACCCTGTGTACTTTATGCTGGCAACAATCTGGATGGTCCCTTTTTTCTTTGGCCTGGAGAACGCAATTCCTTTATTTAGTCACAAACTTCAACCCATCCTTGCTCATAATGGATTAGGCCTTTCATGGAGCTAATTTTATGACCAAATATGACTGCATCAGCTGTTTAAGATGTTTTTCGAACACTGTCAACCTTTAATTGGCCTTGTCCCAAATTTTCTGCAACGTGTTACAGGTTTCAATTTCTGAATGAGTAGATCTTTACAAAAATAAACAAATAAAAATAATTAAATATAAGTCAAAGTGGATTTACAAATCACTGCTGTCTGTTTTTATTTGCATTTCACAACATATAGTCTCAACTTTAGATACATGGGCTATTTTTGTCATTGGCCATTATCACTATCACTATCATTTCACTGCTTGCAAAAAAATGTCCTAAAGGCTCACTAATAAAACTTTTCCATTCTAGTAAGATACTAAAACTTCTGAAGGCAGATGATGTCAGGGAGAAGTTTTGTTCTTGCTAAAACTAAATCAACTACTCTTCAAAACATATAACTATTTCCAAGCATATAACTCTCAGATACATACACACAAGCATTCCTTGTAAAATTCAAGTGAAAACCTGAACACATGAGCAGTCACCTAGAGCTGCTGTGATATCTGAACTTTGTATTAGTTGGGGGTGTATGCTGTGTGTGCTTACTGCTGCAATGCTTCTCCACTCCATCGACCTGAGAGGTGCTCCCAGTGGCCTCTTCCCCTGCAGGCCTCTTGCCTGCCACAGCGGCTGGAGCAGGTGCCTGCTGAAGCGGGGTCTGAATTCCTGGGGGAGTTCATATAGAAGTAGCACTTACCACAGAGATACTGACAGGCTGAGGTCAGGAGGGATCTGACCACACAAAAGTTTATGTACTGTATCTATGAAAGTTAACTGAAAAGTGAGAAAGTACTGGAGTGAGGCAAGGAGAAGGATAGCAAGTAAGTGAGTCAGTCTTTCTACCAGTCCTTCCAGCCTCAATGATTATTCCTGATACAGAGGGAGAGATATTGGGTTCTGCTTAATTTAAAACAGTATGGAAGTAATAGACTGAAAAAAAAAATCAACCAAGGTTTCCTTATGCAGCCACATGCAGAACCTTCAACCTTCACTCTATAAAACTGAAACCTTTAACATCTCCACTGTGCCACATAAAATATTCACCAGCGATTCTCTTAGGCAGTTCACACCATGGCCTGTAAAATCCATTCAGCTCTGCACAGAGCAAATGAAAAGAACAAGTAGAGTAGACTAGATGAGATGTTTTTTGCTTTGCAACAGCTGACTGAGAATTAGTCAATAGAATCAATTGTTAGTGATTACATAATCACATGGAATGTCACAACAATCTATCATTGTATTTGGCCTTCAAGGAGTTCTCCTCTTTAAACATTTCTTTTCAAAATGATTTCTCACCTTGTGATGAACAAGCTACAGAGAACAGGCGGACAGCTACCTAAGGCCAATGCTCTGACCAGTTCAGCTTTATTCCCCGCTGGCCAATGTTTGCAGTAACGGTTATAATTACTGGCCTAGTTTTTGTCCTGGGAAAAAAATAACCAATGAAGTGTGGCCATTCCATTTTTGTCCTCTCACCTCTTTTCCTGCGGGACTCTTTGATCTCTTCACACATGCGGTCAAACTCGGGGTCCAGCTCAGAGGCAATCATTGCATGGGCCGTGTCCTTTAGACTGCAAGCTCTGTGCCGAATAATCTTATCTGTGAAGAAACAATTCAAAGTGTGAAAAGTCCATATATATATGTATATATATATGCGTGTATGTATATATATATATATATATATATATGTGTATATATATATATATATATATATAAATATATAGAGGAAGAGAGAGAGAGAGAGACACACACACACACACACACACACAAATATTAGGAACAAGGGAACAAGGCATTAACCTCATTCCTAATCCCTGTTCACAGATAATGGTTACAGGATTATTCCTCAATTTGTGTACTCTGGTCCTAAAATATTTTTTCTTTGGTCCTGAGGCACAACTGAGTCTACTGAATACAAGCAATCTAAAACCCCACCAAAAAAATATACCAGTTAGTTTTTTGTCAGGACATGCAAGAGAAGGACACTTTAAGCCTTTAAGTGTAATATTCATGGTTAAGTGGGAAAGTAATGCCAACAAATGGAATTATGATGGGGCCTGGGTTCCATATTCCCTTGGTCCAAATGCACCCAAAGCTGCTTTGGTTCCCTCATTAAAGTGGCTATTTGCATTTTGCACTGTCCCTTTCATTGCTCCTTTGTGGATACTGCATTTAAACAAATGACCCACACTGTCCCACTAAAAGGGGAAACATGATTTATTCATGATCTCAGTCTGCATTTAACCAACATCATTCAATATGCCGGCAATTACTTCTGGAGACTGAGACAATTAAGCAACAACAGAAATATTTAATGTTTAAAAGTGAACTGTTTATTTGACCATAATTCAAGACCTTAAAGCTACACTTTATTGTTCACATACAATGATGTTTTTTTAATCACTAACTGACATTCTTAAGAGGGCAGTCACTGGCTTCCAAGTTATGTAAATTATTGAGAGGTGGGGCATATGGACACTGTATGTATATTTTTCATAACACATTCATGGGTTGGGTTTTAATAATGGATCACTTGTTAACTGGTGTGATATGAACTGGTGCATGAAAAGCATCCTCTTGCAGTGGAATGCTAGCAGAAGGCAGTGAGGTGAAGCTGAGAAAACGACAATGAATAAACATTCTACATTTGCAATGATGGGAAACTTAGTAAGTGGCTTGACTCTGAAGACCTGAAAAAATTAATTAATTTTGTTGTATAGTGAGTTATATTCATAGAGCTTCAAAACTAAAAAACCTTCAAAATACAGCACCTGGATTTTTTAACACATTTAATCGACAAATTATTTAGCCAATCTCATAGGCCTTGATAGCTTCACCGATTTTCAATTTGAATATATGAATTTCTGAAATGTAAAACTGCCTTCTTCATAATGTGCATCACTATTACTGTGTGTGTGGATATGATCTATATGACCAACGAAAGAAGAAAAATGCAGATGCCTACAGTTTTGTCATTCTGAAAAGGGCTACTGGCCTCTTGCAGACATTTAGAAAGAAACTGAATTATATATTTCCAACAACAATCACAACAGGATCTCATGATGTTTTTGTGACTGTTCTGGGCAAAAATGCTTGATTTTGAAGCAATTTTTGATTTTGAATTGATTTTCTCAATATTTGCAGCAATATTTGGGAAATTTGCTCTGCCATGGCAAAAACAGCTTATAAATGTTCTGTAACAATCCATTGTTTTAAAAGTAAACAATAGTAAAATATTACATATTATTTAATACATATAATATACTATTTAAAATGGAATTAGTCCTCTCTTGTTCTCTATCAGTTCTTTTTCTCAACACAGCGATTATTACCTCTACATCACCGCCATTGGGTTACCTGTCAAACAGCACTGACATCCAATTAAATCACACAGGCCTATTCTGAGCTTGTCTCTAAATGCAGCATCTAATGTTGATTGCAACAATAAACACCAGGCAAAATCATCCAAAAAGTTCACCAAAAAATCAAGCTAATTTTTTACTATTTCAATAACTTGAATAATATGTAGAACATGACCAAAAAAGTGTTTTAGTTTAGACAGCATCAGCATAAGTATATTATGTGCCTGAGAAATCCTTTTTGGAAAATTGCAGGGTGGAGCAGAACACTTGTCCGTGTTTACACTGACCTCCTAACAGTCATTTAATAACACCCTCCCCAGCGTAACAATACTCCACCCTCACACCTCTGTCTGTTCAGCTAGAAAAACATGGCAGAATCTGGTTAAGAAATTGCAGTGCACCAGCTGGTTTAGGACTGTGGGAGAAAAAAAAAACATGCTGTGCTGCCAGAAAACAACAAGAAACAAACTAAAACAAAAAAATCAACACTGTTTAAAGATGGAATTTACATGAGAAGGGGACAGAGAATTAGCAATGTTCCTCCTGGAGAGGTATGTAAAAGCATTACATATAAAGAGTTAACAAACTGGCTGAGTTCATCAACTTGATCTCAGAGAGCCTGGTAAAATAATGCTATGAACCATCTTCTTAGAGTTTTATCTAATACTAGTCAACTGCATCAAACTGCCATGCAAGTAACAAAATTAACTAGACGAGGCTGAAATTGGCTTCTTGTTCAAACTTTCTGTTCCACTGCTATAGAGGCGATATTTGCCTCATTACTGCTCATTACAAGGAAAAACAGAACAACAAAGACACTCTTGACAATTCTTGAGCAGCAAATTGCCATGAACCAAATGGCAAGTTTTTATAGTCTTGTACAAAGGAGACACATTTGATGCTTGTTCTGGCCAGATAAGTATTTGGAGAGTACTTTGATAATGTGATAAGACAAAAAGTCTCTCTAAATAAGTGAAATGTAATGGTATGTCATCATAATTTACCTAGAAGAATGCATCAATACTTTGTTGGGGAAAGAGCAGCATTGCAGCCCTCTGTTGATGCTTTTATCTTTTAGCCAGATTCCTAAAAGCAAGCACAACCACCCTGAAGTAAATTAGCTGATGCTAAACACCAACAGTTCTTTCTGGTGATGGGTGGGAAAGTGTTGTAGTTATTTAACTGCTAGAGGTTAATGCATCTTCAACTCTGACACGTTCACATTTAAATACATAATTGATAGCAAGAACTTTGTGACAATTTAATGATTTTCTTTTTCATCAAAATTGCTAATAATCCAAGATCATTTTTTCCCCTTACCTCCTGGATCCTTGTCTGGATTGTACTCCAATGCATTACTGCAGATGAGGTCAACGTCCATTAAAAAATCCTTGGCAGTTGTGTACTGGTGAGTGTCAATCTTCGTCATGATAGTGGACAAGTCCATAGGCTCTCTGATGACCTCAAGATAATCTGATACCTGAAAAAGTCAAATGTTCAGAATGTTCAAAAAAAACAATGATTATAGGAAAAAAGCTGACATGCATATTTTGTATCAGCGTATTACTGTATCTTTATGAATGCTGTACAGATAAATTAATATTACAAACTAGTGCTTTTAGATGTTCTCAAATGTACTGCTTAAGGCAAGTAAGTTACCAGCCTGTAATAAAATAATGACAATCACACAACTTATTTGGCCTGTGGCTTGCACATATTTCATATGTCCAGAACGATGAGAGCCTCAGGCACTAATGGCTCAGCGGTGGTTTGTACAGAGAGAAGCCCAGCAGCAGCTCAACTAGCCCACCTCCTCAATGTCCACAGGCTTGCTGAAAATCTGGAAGCGCTTGTCTGTGGCCAGCCGCTTGGTGACATCCCTGAGAAAGAGGCGGAGTTCTCGCAGGGTGTTCTCTTCCTGCTCCTCAAGTCGCCTCTGTTCTTCTGGAGAGAGTTGACGAGGGCCAGGATCGTCCGCCAGAGGCAGCACCTCATAATCACACACTGGAAAAAAACATATACATGTATATATACAGCACGTTCTTCCACTTTCCTCATGTTATTAGTATTGCAAATATTTTCTGTTAGACACACATCTCACTCCATACAGTGCATGTCTCTCCGAAATTGCAAATCTGCCTTGATGGTACTTCTTGAATTTGCAGCAGTACCAAAATCCAAACTACCCTTTGGGAGTGGAGTAAGCTTATACATTTGATTTAAATCGCATTTGCTGATGCAACCAATTGCAAACCTTAAAAAGGTACAAATTTAAATTCCTCTATTAATCTATGCTGCCAGAGGATAGCCAACTATTTCTCAGCATGAGGAACAGTTTTGCTAACAACTGCTAGTCAAGTGGGGAAAAAGGACCACCTTAGGAGCAGTAAACAATGTAATGGTGGTTAGACCCAAGTGCTGTCAAGCATTTCATGAGTACTATACAAGCTTGAATCATGCTGTTCAACTCCAAAGTCAGATTTCCTTACACTCAGATATCAATGAGAATTTAAGACAACTGAACCAGAGGCCAATTTAAAGTGTACCAGGTCAAAGAGTAAAAACATCAACCCAAATAAATGAACTAATAAATGTGAAGGAAAGAATCTGCTGACGCCAAATTTCTAGGCACTTTCACACAGCCAGAGGGAGCAGCCAGCAGTACGGTCTAGGCAGAGTGTCTGTTCAGAAGCCTGCTCCTGTGCCTCAGCATCAGCAATTTGCTCTGCAGAGGCAAGAGCCAAAAAGCAGCTATACTAACAGTGAGTGTGATTATGACTAATGGCGAGTGTTTGAACAAGTTCGTCTCTCTAACCTCAGCTGTACTGCAGCTGATGGAAGTAGGGCAGCTGTTATATTTGGCGAGACCCCCAAGCAACTCCTAGGAAGACCCCCTGTCTTGCATCAATGGGTCTTCATGCCTGCATTACCATTTGAAAGCCCTTCTATGCCATCCTGCCCCCTACTGAGAGAGAACCCGCAAACATAGTAATGGATTGCATGGAAAGAATTTTTAAAATAGAGATGTAAAAAAATAAAGCAGGGCTGTGTGCTATGCGCCCTGCGATATACTGGCGACCTGTACGTGGTGTTTCCTGCCTTCTGCCCATTGACCGCTGCTTATCCCCCAAGAGGGATAAGCAGCTTAGAAAATGTGTAGAATAAATGTCATAATTGCTGAACAATAAACATATCGCCATATCGTTGGTAGACTGAGTTCAAATCCTGGTAACACCACAGTCAGTAAGGTGTATGAAAACCACAGAAAGGTTTTCACTAATGACAATATATCAGTCAGGCCGTAGTGTGAAGAACAGACTAATAACAATAAATATAAATAAAGAGACAGGTGCAAACCTGTTTCATCATTTTTGTGGCATTAACCAATTTGGCCAATTTTCTTGAAAGTTGTGCAACCACAAAAAAAGTTACTCTCTCTATAGTTGGAGTTTCAAACATTTAGATGCTATAAATCACACCAAGCACTTGAACAAAATGACCAAAAATGACTACTGCAGCCATACTGTTCCTCTACAAATAGAACAACTGGGCTGAGAACTGTACCCATCTTTCTTCTACCCGATCATACCCCAGCATATCCCCATCATCAACCGTCCGTCGCTCCCTCACACATACACAAACACACAAAACCTTCACGGTCATTACCAGCTCCATTCCCTCTCTCAGGGCCTGCTTAGCAGCTGGAGGGACAGTGTGTGGTGTGTGAAATCCTTTTAAACATTGGTCAGTCTGGCAGTAAATCGAATCCCACAGTCATCCCAACTGCACACAGACCCAACACTGACAGAGCAGGGAGAACAGGGAGCTCCCTTAGAATGCTGATGGGGCACGTGCTGGGATGTACTAAAAGACTACATACAGTACAGTGAAACTCAAACTGCATATACAATGGAGACCATTCACTCATTTGTAACCCAAGTTGTTCATATGATCTTCTCACAAAACCTACTAACTGTAGGAAATGCAGCCTCTTTGTGCATAAGTGTGAAAGGTTCTTTGTATGATCGCACTTACAGTTGCTCTAAGCAAAAATTTCTCAATTCATTGTTTTGAACTGCTCTAAAATCTAAGTAATGTAAAAAAAGACAGTGTTTTTATATCTTGTCAGATATGTGTTCATATATTTCTCCTCTTTGTTACCTACATGTAATAAGAATTTTCAAACCTAAACCTTAAAGCTAACAGTGAAGAAAACATAACAAACAGTAAATAAACATTGCTAATTAGACCCACCTTACTTCATCACAACACAACTGTGTTGGCTCAGGCACATTAACAAGGGCAGATATTCTAATCAACTAATTTGCTTTTAATGAGGCACATATTTTAGTAATTAGGACACATAATGGTGGTGGTTCAACATCTTCCATCTCTAGATTTCACTGAAGTTATGAATGAAAACTTGTTAGGGGTCATTTAAAAAGAAAAAGAACATTTATTTATTTTTGTTTTGAAAGGCATAAGCCTTTAGATCAAAATGTATATTATAAAAACACATTTAATCAGATATGTTTAAACTTTGACTGGAACTGTACTCTCTTGAAATGTTTAGGCCTTGAATAAAAAAAAAAGTTAATCAGATTATACAGACTCTGTGTTGCAGTCACAAATTGGTCATACTTATAGCATATGCATAACAAAATGCCTGAACCCATTATAACATAATCTTACGTTTGTTTAACAACTACCTAGGTAAACTGCCAACATGCTAACAAGCTAATCCAGTAATATTCAGAGTTAGGCTTTACATTTAAGAATTTATTTAAAGATTAATTATAAAACTAAAACATGAAGTGTTACATGTATGTCTGTTAAAAACAAAATGTTCACCTTTTGACTAGAACAGCTATATCTAGTATTAAAAAATCACAACAGCTTTAAAAAAAAGCACAACAGCATTAGCTTGGCACTTAACATTTAAAAGCAATAGTGTAGCAGTATTATTTGGATAAAATGACTTCTTATAAAGATGTTCATACATTAAACTCTGCTATAAAAATGGTAAGTTTATACTTATATGAATTAAAAGTGACTGAAATGTCCCATGTGTTACTTAATGTTTGGACATCAATTTAAGTGAGTCATCTTGAGTGTTCTAGGCGGGGGCTCTCTAATGATTAAATATTTCATCAGTACCCAACATTTCTGATGAAAAATAAACACTATATGAGCTGTGTGACACAAAGAACAAAAATATTAAAGAAAAAGTAGTTTTGTTTCTTTCTCTCTTTTTATTTTAGTTGACATGGTAAAACAAGTCTATAGACATAACTAGTGTGCAATGTGTAAGCAAATTAACACCAGTTATTAATGATAAATCTCGGTGAAAAAAAACTAATGTAGACTACAGAAGCACAATTTCATGATGCATCAAAAATTGTTTCATAATCTCATGTTGGCAGCCTGAATCAAAACTGAACTGAAATGTGAGGTGCTTAGAGATTCCTACTCATACTGTACAAACTTAGTTTGCAATGTCCTGTCGTACCTTTTTTCCTCTGACGGGGTGGCGGCCTGGCTGCCTGCACCAGTATGAGGTCACTGAAGAACTTTGTGCGGTCCTCTTCTCCTGGCGTTCTTAGACAAACCACCTCTCCATATGAGCGACTAAAGATGCATTTTACCTACAAACACACAAATTCATAAAAAATTAAGTTATTCAGACACACAGACACTTACAATACGTCTTTTTTAAGTGCCACAGTTAACCTCCTTTTAACTCACAGTAATGAAGTAACACTTTTCATTTATAAATAAACATACAAAAACATACTTGTGCCTAAACATATCAGCAATCAAGACAGCTTGACAATCAATAAATGCATTTCAATTGCCAACTAACACGTCGTCACCCTGACTTCAGAAACTCTACAAACCTTCACAACAAAAAGTGGAGTAAAGTGCTTGAGGAGTCCTGCTAGTTTGTTTTCCCGTTTATCACACTTTGCGGACGATGAGCGTATTTATTTATCTTTAATTTTCTTTTTCTGTACTATTCCGCAACCAAAGTTGTTTCTTAGAATAAAGAGCATAGTAGGTAACATGTTAAGTTCTTCCTATGCCTTCTCCTTTCTCCCAGTGGAAAGCAGTGTGACGTTCAGCTAACACTTCAAAAGGTACGTTTGTTTGTAAGCATGCAGTATTTATAGGCAGTGATCTAAACCGAGAGCAAAATCTAACAGATACATGTGCTTCTTCATATGTGTACAATTGCTTCAAATTGAGAGGAGAGGCTCCAGGCATCCTCTATCAAGTATTACTACAGAAGTTAATATTGGGCCATCTTAGGCTCCTGACGCTGGGACATCAGTCTGAAAAAGCTGCACATTTGAGCAAATAGGTTTTAATCACAATTGAGCAGGCATAGTGGAAAGCAGACATCATAAAGAGAAACAAAGTGTGAAGATCAGCAAAACACATAAAAGCAAAGGATATCAAACATAAAATGACAAAATCAGAAAACCCTAGAAGACTCAGGTTTGTGCTCTGTCACAGAGGAGACATCTTTTTTTTATGAACGCAGTTCCATTTTACAGTTATGGTCGGACATATTAAATTAATTCTGTCTATAAAGTCCAGCGTGCTCTACAGACACCTGCACTGCTTAACTGGATCAAAGCATGCTCCTAACTGTCCCCATCTGAAGTTTATACAGAGTGAATACAACACTACAGTGAAGGCTTATAAAAATGACTCCTGCATAATGAAATCCAAATATCACAGCATACTGTTATCTGGCTTAGACAGAGGCATTTTAAATACTCCACTGAGCTTAAGAAGAATGTGACACATAGAGACTGCAGTTCCCTTACTTAACCCACATCACCAAACCTGTAAGCTGACTCTAGCAAGCAAGAAACTTGTAAGCTACTTTCTTGATATGGTTTGGAAGTTCTTGGTATGATGTTTTTTCTTAACCTGTTTTGTAGGTTTTACTGTAAGTTTTACAGCTTCCTGCTAAAACAGTAAAACATGAAGTCAGCCTACAGGTTACAGTTACTGTTTCCCTATAGTGAAACTGCACTAACAGCAGGGATTTTAAGCTGCAGTGTTGCTACGGCAACCAGAAACACTGTTTTTCCGCGTGTTTCACTCACAGGTTTTTTCTCAGTCACACAGGGTTGCCAGATTCACAGTTCTCCTAACAAATCTGGCCGGTTTACAGTGCAAAGCAGGTTGAAATTACATAGTCACTAGGTGCATTTTTATTTGGACAACTTTCTCAAGGTACTGCAGCCTGGAAAAAAAAGGTTTAAAAATGAACACAAATCATCTTATGAATGTATATTTGAACAGTTGGCAACCGAAGGACAGAGGTACGCAGAACAAAAAGAAGGATCAGAGGAGTGTGGCTTGTTCAGTGGCATCTTTGATAATTCTAAACATGAAGGAGGGCATACACGCATGTAATTTCACAAAAACAGATCTCTGTAAAGAGACAATGACAACTCCTCATTAAAAGACAAACTTTACAAGAACAATCATGAGTTGATAGATGTTGTTACATGCAGTGATTAATTTAGTAAACACGTTTTTAAAACCTGTTAAAATCGTTTACGTTTGGAGACATGTTGAGTCAGTTTCAGCTTCTGGTGAGTTTTAGGTAAACTTTCAACTGTCCGTTCAGGTTCACTCTGCAGGGGGCGCGAGAGAAACAGCTGCTCGCAAGCGCTGCCCATTCACACACACAACGGTTGAGCTGCTGAGCGGAGCAGCAAGAAAGATCTACAGATATAGCTACTTCATCCAAACAGATAAACAGTTAAATCAGTCACTCTGGTCATCAAAATATAAGTCGTAAAAGAACAGGTGCATCTGTTTTCCCTCAACAGCATTCTGACTTGTAATTGGATTTTTAGCCAACTGGGAAATCTTTATAAAGTTTAACTAGCATTTTGTTCGATAATTTGTGTTTTTAAAAGTTTCAATCGGTTTTCTGTTTCATTTTTATTTATTCTAATGGTTTATTTCACCGTATTTTGTTGTGTGGTGTTCAGAAAAAAAATCGGCTCCTGGTCAAGGCCTATTCAGTTAATACCGCCCACCTCAGTGCTGCTCTGCACACACCGACAAGAACAACGAGATGTGGGGTTTACAAATTTTTTTATACAATAATGACACTATCCATTAACATTATGGACACATCACACACCATTTTATGGCGCGCAATCTACTTATAATATTACGAGAGGACAGCAGAGCAAAGCGATCACATTATCACAGAGTATGATAATAATTTATTTTGTTTTAGTTAAGTTATTAATAATTTACATACATTAAACCATGATTCCTGCTTTTATTCCAATGTCCCTCCTCCTAGATTGAATGCGCATCATCAGATAGGGACATTATTTTAACACTGCTCTCCACCAATGTTGAAGCTGGGACCCATGAATGTAGCTTTCCTTTACTATTATATTATTATTATTATTATTACTACTATTATATCTAATACTATCATTACTATTACACTGACGTAAACACAACAACAAAAAAATCGTTTAAGCCCTCGTTTATGTTTCATGAGGCAAGGTTTGGGCTAATACAGACATATGCAACAAATAATAATAAAAAAAAAAAACATGCTAAAAGAAATCAAGGATTACGAGACATATATGATTAGTGCATCTTATAGCCACGCACGACTTATGTGCTGACCTTTAATTCATCCAACTTGATTGACAGTCATGATAGGTGAAATCTATCAGCGATTCACGCTGCTATCGCCAATCAGCTTAAGCCCACCCACTGTATCATGTGAGGAGTGTCATGAACTTAATCAAATTCCAGTTCACTGCATTATCCAATGGTGCACGCTTTGTGATAGCACCATCAGGTAATAGCAATTTTATGCAGAACTGTCCGGACTAAGAAAATAACTTGTTTGTGAGGATTTTATTGGTCTCGTGTTCTTACATTTTTCAGAGGAATCGCAAAGTGCTGCATACCATACTCACTACTCGTCTAACACACTAAAGACTAACAGACTAAACAGGCTGAACTTGAACACACCTCGAGCACAAAACACAATCATGGCAAAAATAAAAAACACATTCGTGACTTCGTGACCGAAGCATCGCTCAAACATTTTCATGTCAACTGGACCCTAGTCCAGTGTATGATTAGTGAAGATGTGGGCAGCAGCAATAGCAACACTAGTTAAGTCATTTTAATTTTTGTATTCCATTTTATATTTTCTTATTTGTATATTATATTTTTAAGATGTCAGATATACCCTTAACTTGGAACTAGCGAGTCAGAAGTGATTTCCAAGTGAATACCATGAGGAAACGACTCTGTGCCGGAGGCCTGCAGAGCATCAGGTGTTAAACTCCCTGACATTGCCATTACGCCTCAAGCAAAACACTTAACATTGTTCCATTAGTGCAACCCCAACAACCCCCGGGCATGCTTGTGCATGAGAAAATGTTCTTTTAGCACTTTCCCTGCTAAAGTCAAGTCCCTTTCCCCCCATCCCCCAAAACTATTTATGGCTTTTGCTGATGTAAAATGTTCTACGCTGCATAATGACTCTGCAAAAGCAAGAAGACAAAAGTCACTGTTATATGGTAGAGCCATTGTCACATTGAATTCTCTACTAAACAATGACGAACGTTGCAAAGCACCATCCAAAGCTCCAAACAGTGCAGACTGGATGACTTTTTCCCCTCTTCTCAAAGGCTTGTTTCTGCTCGGCTAACTTTTAAAGCCCTGTAGACCAAACTCTTTAGGGAAGTTAGCGAGTATGTAACAGTCAAACACAGCCGGTAATGATTTTTAGCTCTCTCTTAGTTGATAAGTGCCTAAGATCCTGACTTAACATAGGGTGTCAATGGTACAGAACAGACCAAAAAAAATTCTCCTGACAGAAAACAATTATCATCTTCCAAACAGAGAAAATATTTCTTATAAAAACATCTTTTTCCTTGCCTCAACTGGTACTGTGACATCAGGGGACCAAGAAAACCTACAGATCAGACTGAACCATAGCAGCAAGCATGGAGTGAAACAGGGATTTCATATTAACTCCACAAACACTGCAGAGGTTCCCCATGTAGACAGAGGAATCAATATCAGTGGAAGTCAAAATAGCTTAGATGTTGCAGCACGTCTTTGATGCAGTTGCCATCGTTTGGGAATAGGGGAGTTCTTCCACTTCCAACTAACAAAATCAATGTGCAAGGAATTTTCCTTTTAAAAATGAAATCGCCTTTAAACAAGCACTCTTACATAAAAGAGTCTTGAAAGCTGGTGCTTAAATGTGCACAGAGAGCAGCAAATCGTGACAAAAAGAGGTCAACACTTACTGGGAACACCATCACAAGGTGTGACGCTACTGACAGTTCTTTAGAACCTAGGAGAAACCATGACACATGGCCCACTGCACTGCCTATTTTCACTACAGATGTTTACCCTGAGTGCCAGCATGTGTTTCATCCCTCCGACACGCGAAGCAGGAAAGGCTCAGGCTTTTCTTAAATATTCCATTGCCAGGCAGAATGAGGCCTTGCCCCTGATGTGCAGCACTGCAGAGAGGACAGCTGTCATGCTGAACGTGCCAGAAATCGAGTGACACGGCAAACTGTTAGCAACCCGCAATCTCCTTCACATATCTCCACATGCT